GGATGGTGACTGGGTGGCCGGAGCCTTTCTTCTTCTTCTTCAAGGGAGCGGTGCGGGACGGGGGAAGTGGGAGTGGCCTCGTGGCAAAAGGGGAAGAACCCTATTGGTGCGGTGGGGCCGGTTTTCGGGAGGGAAGGCTCGGGTCGCGGTTTCGCGGGGCCAACCGGAGCGCCTGAGCCTCTCCCGCATCCCTGCCCCACGCGCCCCCCACGGCCGCCGGCCACTGAGTAGTGGGCAGACCCTCCAAGTCCGTGCCTCCCTCGTTCCTCCCACGGAAGCCCGCACTGGTACCTCGCGCCCTGTGATAGTGTTTTAACTTTTGTGCCCAGGACCTACTGCGGCTTACACGTTTTATACCGCATCCCAGGACACGTACGATGCACCATTTAAAGAAAAGCTCCCGCGTTACCTAGTGCAGTCTGATACACTGCATTTCGTAAAATGCAATATACTATCCACTGTCCACTAACGGGTTTCCAACTTTGACAGAAGGAGAGCCCAGAGGTAAGACTGCCTTGTACTAAGTTACAGTGCGAATGAGGAGCCTTCGTCTGGTCTCCGGACTACTCGAAGCCAACCAGGCCAACCATTGCACACGAAGCTGCTCCTGCTCCTGCTCCTGCCCCAGACCCAGCCCCCGGCGGGAGGGCCAACAGCCTCCTCTCATTCCCCAAAACCATCCCTCCCTCCGCGGGTCCCAGTTCTGACCGCCAGGAGCAGCGGAGGGAAAAAAAAGACTAGGGCTCAGAAGAAATATACAAACTAGGGGAATAAGCATTGAATCCACAACGCCAAAAGAGTTTAAAATGTCTGCGGTATTATCTGGAAGAGGAAAACAAAAAAAACGTGAGAGTTGAGCACTTACTAAAATGTCTGCGGTATTATCTGGAAGAGGAAAACAAACAAACAAAAAAAACGTGAGAGTTGAGCACTTAGGTTGTCAACCATTCTTAAGAAAACTTTAAGCAAATAATGTTTATTTTCATATTGATACACTTAATATATACGTGGATTCAAGATACAAAATTCATTTACAAGAGTTCACACCAGATGAATGTTAGTCACATTCCTAGAGAACATTTATCAATGCAAAAAAATGCTTTCAATACACTGACAACAAAAATCAAATATTCTGTAATCTTGTTATTCAATAAACATAAAAATGACAATGTTTAACTTTCCATCCACTAGTATTTAAACGCCCTCAAGGTGGTAGGCACCATATAAAAGAAGAAAACATTGGAAAGACAGGGGCCTACAGAACCCACTCTGCAGAATCACAGTGTTTACTCTGAAATTCAGTTAGTGAAGTAGTGAAAGGCTTGCTATTCTTTATGACAAATCACATATACAAGAGTCAAAAGTTATGAACTCAAGAAAATAAAATGTTTCAATAACCTCTCCATTTCTAAAATCAAGTAAGTATTAACAATAATAGACAAAGCAGGAAAAGGCTGCTGAAAAAGAACATTACAGAAAAACATCCTTAAAAGTATGTATGGCTTAAGCAATCTGGAAACACACAGACAAGACTTTTACAAGACCACAAAAGTTCAAGTCAAATGATACAATATAATTTTCCCCCTTAGTCATTGGTAGTAAATAGCCCCTTCAAAATTTATTCTACTGATAATACATATAAAACTAATGAATTCAAATGGTTTGCTGTCTCACAGAGCTGAGTTAATGGATTTTGTTCTAAAGTATTAACCCACAATACCCAAAATTTAATACAATGAGCAACAAGACTACGTTTCAAGGATTACAGTAATTTGTGAATAGCTAGCTAGGCAACCAAATAGCTTCATTATTTGGACGACAGATTAGCAGCACTTGTATAAGAACTGTTACATGATAATTATTGTGCTTCAATCTCTTGAGGAGAGCTAATAAATATAACTCTATAATCCCTATAGTGTTACAATTCTGTAACATTTCAGTTACAGACAAGCACAATTTTTAAAAAGTATTTCACACCACTAGAAAATCCAGTAATTATGGTCTCCAAATGTAATTTCTGCTATGATCGAAACAAGTGCATTTCTGCCTAATATCCATAATACAGACAATAGGTTCACCATTATTTTCAGGAAAAACAATCAAACATAACTTATTTTTAACTCTTATTTGAATATCTTAACCTTTAGTGATGATTTGCATAAAGAAAGGCTATTCAACTTGACAACGGAAACCGCTCAGAGAAAATAATGTGGCCTGAAATGAAACAATTTTTAGAGCAAAGTAAGAGATGACCTATAACTGCTTCATCAGATTCAATGACTAATGAAACCCCTATCTGTACTGGTGCTACATACCAAAGATAACCTATTTAGATAAATGCATTTGTAAGCTCTACTATGAAAATGTTAGGACATCGTACCTGCCTTTCCTAATATCTAATACCTTTTGACCTCAACTAGAAGAAATCTACAAAATGTAAGACTCTCTGATTGCTGAATAGCTGGTTTATTAAAAACAAACAAAAAACAATTGGAGAACTAGCCATATGGTCTAAGTGACTAAAGGAACGTATCCAGATAACTGTAAAAGCCATGAAAACCAAGTCCTAAAATATTTTACTGAATCATTAAGTTATTTTTAATAAAAGATAAAGTTTTTTAAAAACCCCATTCTTCAAGAAATAGTAAAATTTTTACTGTCCTAAAATGTTTAAAGCAATTTTCTTTGCAGATTTTAATATATCACAACCCATTTTTATAACTCAGAAAAAAAAATCAGTAACATGCAAAAGAGGGTAGAAATACAATTTTGAAAAATACTGTGATTATTTCTCTATGGTTTGGAAATATTTACTTTAGGATAATCATATGATAATTTCACATTTTACAATGGTTGGTCATACTATACTGATTTGATGTTTGAGATAATTTATGGGTCAAATTGTAATGGTTACTAATCTTAATTTTCAATCATGGACCAGTGGACATTTGCAACAGCTTCAAAAGAGAAAATATTAGTAATATAACATAAAATTTTAAATATTGTTGACTGCAGACTTACAGGAAGGCTGGCAATAATTCCCTATCTCATTCTAAAGTGATATAATCAGTCTATTAACTTTCATTCCATAGCCAACTGAAGAGTAACAATCTGAACCCTAAAATTACCAATGTTTCAATAAACAATACCACACCTAAAAAGATGATTGTCTTAGGATACACTGGAATTGTTCAATATAGGAAAATATTCCCAATTTATAGTCTGTTCTGTGACCAAATTCAGGCTTTATGATTAAATGTATGTGGAGTGCAGAATTAATATACTTCAAACTATTTAAAAACTGACCTACTGTTCAAATATGTTTTTAAAAATCACACAAAGTTAGCTTGACAATTAATTTTAGAAATCACTTTTAAAAACACACAAATGAAATTAACAAATGTATTTTAAAATTAAGATATGGTGCTTCAATCAATGATTAAGAAACAGTGTTAATACAGAAATGAAATTCTTCTCAAAAGTCAATATTACACCAAATAAATGAAAAATACCAATTTTGGCTTAAGAGAACATTTTCTATCTACAGATGGAAATATTTCTATGGCACCAACAAAGTTATATTAATACATTTATCATTCCCCAATTAAGGGCATGCTCCCTACATCATCTTTCTGACAACCCTTCTTTCAACAGGTGATGAATTCCATTCACACATCAATTATTTTTTCCTTCAACAGAAGGCAGGCTTAAGAAGTCTGTGTTCAAAAACTCAGTGAAGCTGGGACATCGTGTAACATTGTTTTGAAATTCCAGAGTGAGGAAGACGAATTGCCTTTAAAAAAAGTTGTGTGTGTTGTTGTTTTTTTAAAGTAAAGAAGAGGAAAGAAGAGGAGGTCTAGCAAAAATAGGTAGGAAGTATCAACGCCTAAAGGGAGGGGGGGGGGGGGGGGGGGAGGAAAGGCTTGGTTTTCTATGCAATTCTTACCTTACATAACTGACAACTGGCTTTACAACTGTTAGAGTCAGAGGTCATATTCACAATGTCATTCTCATCTACTGATGGAGAGGCAAATGTAATATTTTGAGGGTGGTAAAATTGACTCCTGACTCTAACTTCTCTCTTTAAGATAATTTAATGTTGGATCAAATAGATTTAATCCTCTGAAGAATAATGGGGTGAACAGTTGTTTTGCAGTTCATTTAATCATGAAGAAAAAAAACTCTACTTAATTTCTGTGGTGACTGTATTCAAGTGTATATGAAACATCTTTTACCTGCTTCCATGCAAATAAACATGCCCAGTGAAGACAGGAGTAACTGAACATTGATATTCTGTGATATTTCATAGGTTCACAAAGTAGCACTACACATAATCACTATCCTCTTATCTCCCCCACCTGTCATCTTTGGTAGAGGTTTGAAGGCCCAGATCTTAGAGCACACCACGCGCCTCATATTAAGAATCCTACCCTCATGTGTGAACATATATCATCAATCTACAGAACACAAGTGGTCTCACAGAGACAAAGAGATACAGCTGGAGGCACTGTATTCACTGGAAGCATTTTCTCAGATGAACGCACTCATCTTTGATATGCAGCCCCAGTAAGAAATATCCATAGTCAGTAATGCCAAGACAGGGTTAAAGTGATCACAGCTGCTATAAATACACAGATTAACAACCTCCTTTTCGCAATAAATTCCACCCCACCTAAGTAAAGCCTTCCCCCTAGCTAATGCCCTCTTTTCTGCCTCATGGAGACATATAAAATGAGACATATCAGTGAAAAAAAATTGTTCCAAAATTAAAATTCAATATCAGGTATTAAAATGGAAACTAGGAACATATTCCCTACTTAAAGGACATTTTCCTCTCTACTTTGAAATGTGATCAATTTTTTCCACAGCCCCTTGATTCTTAGTATAAATACTTTAGTACTCAGTAATACTCAACTATGGATCAAGAAAATAAAGGACTAATATAGCTTAAGAACCTGTTGGTATCTCAGTTTCACATACTTAGGTTTTTCAGGTTTATGTCACTAATTTATCATCAGTTTAAATGAAAATTGGCAGATGATTTTAAAGCTAAGAGTATCCAGCTTTCTGTTAAAGATCTTCGTATCCTAATTTCAACTCCAAATTAACCCATTATATCCAAACACAAGCCCCTCAAAATAGAGGCTCATGAATGAGATACAGCCACAACCTAATTATAGCAGCATGAACAATGCCACTATGATGTCCTCACAGAACTTAAATAAATTTAGCCCACAATGGATATGGGTATATAATATACACATACTATGTCATTGCATACCAATATATTTACAAATATGTACATATATACAAAAAGTATACACAGAGATTGCATTTAGCATCATAAAAATATACACATGCCATTACAAATAAGAATTTCAAATAAATAAAAGTCAACAAAAGAGCCCTCAATGTAAATACACTTTACACTCTCCAAACACACACACAGGAACATATATACACCCCAAATATCACCAGGAGACTCATACCATTGATATTAAAATCAAATCTTTTACTCACTTAGGGTGGGGAGGTGGTTCTGAATCACTGGCAGAAGCCAAGTTTGCAGACCTTCATACCTTACTGTATTTCCAGTCAAGAATGTTCTCTGTATATCAGGCTGATTACAAGTCTCCATGGATAACTAAGTACAAGATTTTTCAACTGAGTCCAAAGCCCTTCTAAGAAACAGAAAGTTGCTAAGTCACAAAGATCAGAGATTAAACTTAAAGAAGAATGCTACAGGAAGATCCATAACTGATGTACAAAAAAGCGTATTTGTTGATTTTCCCTTTACCTCAATGAAATTCAGTTCAATCACCATCTAATATACCTAACCACTTTCAGGAAATTCTATTACAAGAACAAAACAAAGGGCAGAAGCCACAAGTGAAGAAAAATAAAATCCAGATCCTAGATTAAAAAAATTTCAGTCATAACTAGATTGCACTTTGCTTTTATAATCTCAAAACATTTCAACTCGGTAAAAATATAAAGAGTACAATAAATTCTATGTGCTTTGAGAGGTTTTGAGAGCACCACTTCCTAAGAAGAAAACAGATACACACAATATATATATATATGTGTGTGTATATATATATATGTATATACACACACACACACACACACACACACACATATAGGCTAAAATCAAAGACAAAATGTCTAACTTATGGACTATAAGTTATAATTAATAAATAAAAATTTGCTAGGGCTGACTCATTTACTGGTTTTAATATTTGATATTAAAAATACCATAACCTTTGTGCCAAAATATAAATCTCTTATTTCTTTCTTGTTCATTATAGAAAACCTGAGCGACTAGGAAAGACTGGGCTGAGAGTAGGAGATTTGAGTTCTAACACTATCACTGTGAATAAATTGACAAATTTTTTGGGGGAGTGGGGGACTACCTTAGATTTCTCTTCTGTAAAATAGGGAAGATAAGTGCTCTATCAACTTCAGAAATATATGGGAAAAGAAAGAGAAAATAATTTCATTGTGCTTATTTTTGTTTTGTGTATAACTGACTTTTTGCAGTCTTACACTTTCTATTTTATTTACGGTGATTCTTACGAGAGGTGAGAGACTATCAGAATCTCCAGGGGGAGTTTGTGCAATTGGAAAACAAAAAAGTGCCCTTTCCTATTGCTTTGCTTTGTTCTTAGTTCCAATATTTTAGTTTCTATGAATTCTAAAAATAAATAAATAAAAAGCTTGCTATTTTTACATTTATAAAGGGGGGCAGTTTGCACTGATTCTTTGCCACTGCCACCTAGAGCCCACTGGGGCGATTGTCCTTTTATGTTGCTTCTTCCTTAATTAAAGTAACACCTTAAAACAGGGGTCCTCAAACTTTTTAAACAGGGGGCCAGTTCACTGTCCCTCAGACCGTTGGAGGGCTGGACTATAGTTTTTAAAAAAAACTATGAACAAATTCCTATGCACACTGCACATATCTTATTTTGAAGTAAAAAAACAAAACGGGAACAAATACAATATTTGTATTTGCATGTGGCCCGCGGGCTGTAGTTTGAGGACCCCTGCCTTAAAATGTAGAAGCTGGCCCTGCTGGCATGGCTCAGTGGTTGAGCATCAACCTATGAACCAGGAGGTCTTGGTTCTATTCTTGGTCAGGGCACAAGGCAGCCAATCAATGATTTTCTCTCATCATTGCTGTTTCTCTGTCTCTCTCTCTCTCTCTCTCTCTCCTTTCCTCTGTAAAATCAATAGAAATACATTTTTTAAAATGTAGAAGCTTGGTAGTGGGTACAAGAGGGTTTATTAAACTCTGTTTATATGTAAAACTTCCACAATAAAAAGTAAAACCATACACACAGAGAGAAAAGATAAATATGAATTGTTTGCACAAATGTAATCTCAGTAAGGCCTACCCTGATCACTCATTTCTACATTGCTCTTTGCCACAAAACAAATGGAAAAACTTCCTTACCATGCCCTGATTTTTCTTCACACTACTTATAACTCTCTAATATAAATTTACTTAATTATTGTATGTATTGCCTGACTCCTTCTACTAGAATGAAGCTTCATGAAGACCAGAATTTTTAAGTCTACTTTGTTTGCTTCTCCAGTGCCTGGAACAAAATCTGGAGTACAGTTGTTCAATACACATTTTTTTTTTTGAAGGCCTGAATGAAACAATAGCTTAGCCTTTCCTAGCAGTTTTCCTCTCAAGATCACTTTGGTTCGCTTTACATTTTTAACTACCAGTAAGGAATTACACTACTATTAGCTTAAGAAGCCAATGTCATCATCTAAACCCTAGTTGTGATTTCTAAGCACAAAACCTCTAATATTTCAGATTCTCTCTCTGAACTAGTTTCTATAACAGCTAAGATATTTTCTTGAATAAAAACTAGTTAAATATGATCTTGAAAAGAAAATGTTGTGTACACTAAAATTAGGAAAACTAGTTTTCCTGGTGACGGGGTGGAGAAATCAGTATCTTTTGGAACCAAGAATTCAAATTATAGAACCAGTGAGTTGGACAGGATCTAGGGCTAATGCCTTCATTTTACAGATGAGAATACTAAAAAGCAGAGACATGAAGACACCTATTAAGGGCATACAGCTAGTTATCAGGAAAGCGGGATTAGAACTCAGGACTCCTAGTTCTCAGACCAGTGTTCTTTATGCTAAACAGGTGAGGATAAAGCTCAGGATGTACAATATCATTTTAAGCATCAGAGAACAGGAATATATGTGTTAGGAATGTTACTGGCACAGAACTTTGGGAGAATTGAAACAAGAGGTCGGACAACTAGGCCAGTCTATTGCTGGAGTCTAGGTGAAAACCTTGGTGACACGAAAGCTATGAAGTTTATTAGGGGCTGAGAAAAAGAGAAAGTGGTCTTTATCTGATAAGGGAAAACAACCCACTAGAAAAGGTAATCTTTATCCAGAATATCTTTTCCAAAGCTTTCTGAAATATGTTTAAAAGCACAAACAAAAATAATTAAAAATCAATGAAACAGGCGTGGCTCGGTGGTTGAGCGTCAACCTATGAACCAGGAGATTGTGGTTTGATTCCCAGTCAGAGCATGTGCCTGGGTTGTGAGCTGGATCCCCCGTGAGGGGCATCCAGGAGGCAGCCAATCAATGATTCTTTCTCATCATTCATGTTTCTATCTCTCTCTCCCTTCCTCTCTGAAATCAATAAAAAAAAAATTTTAATTAATAAAACACCACAAAGTCCCCCAAAACCAAGAACAATAACTTCAAGATATCAGATATAATATCAGCAAATTAGAACAAGTATATGAATAACTCAGACCCAAGTAATTCTCTATGAAAACAAAGTTAAAAATATATAACAATAAAATTTCCCGAGGGACATAGGAAAGAGGCACCAAAAGCAATCACCTCATTTCCCCTAGGACTGCCTGCCAGAGGTAGAATGTGAGCCTGTATATAGAAAATTAAGTAGAAGGACTTTGATTCATAACTTTCTGAGTGGAGTCAAAAGGGCAGGGGGAGGGAGGCAAATATCATAGCTAGTACCTGTGAAATTATGAAGGGGATGATAGGGAGGAAGAACACAAAAATCTTTATATTATACACTGAGTCCTATTTAAAATAATAAAAAACTTGTGCGTGAATATAAAATATTAAGTACAAGAAGTTCTAAAAACATCTTATTGCCAAATTGTCAATGCAAAACAACTTCCATCTTAGGTTACATAACAACTCAGTTGCCCCCAACTAAAGTTAATACCATCTCTGACTCTGAAGTCTCACAAACTTTAACTCTGCAAAAAGATTATAAACTCTGTACTTTACACCACGGACTTCAATCTAGAGACAGCCTTTAAACCTGACCGTATGAATGAAGAATTTAAATAGAATTCCTACTGGAAATACTGTATTAAAAAGCTGACAATCTGATTTTTAAGTGAAATATTTAAAAGTTGTTCTTTTACATTTCCAGCACTCAAAGTCTAACGAAGAAAACAAAATATGCAACCATATCTCATAGGACAGGATTCACACACTCCAGATGATATTTATCATTCTCCAGATCCCAATTAAAGCTTTAGCTTTCAGGCGCAAATCAATCTCATATAGTTTTAGAAATTATGACAGTATTTAAGCAAGTTAAATGATTTCAAGAACTGTCTCGATTATACTCTTCACACAGTTTCTACCTACTAACTTGGAATGAAAAGAAATATTATGGCAGGACTCTGTTCTAGACTGTTAGTAGTCCATGCTGGCTAGTTTCATCTCTGTGAACAATTACACTGTAAGGTCCACGTTTAAGAGCTGGATTTTCCTCATTATACAAAAATAAATAATTTACTCTTCGAAGAGTGAGAACAGTGATTATTTGAGGGTAGGGTGAGATGCTGGAGGCAAATATCCATACCTCAAAACCAAAAAAATAAAAATCCCCAAATTAAGCGAGTTTTTAAAAGACCTGAAAGATTGTATTTTAAAACAGCCACCCTAAACGTTTGAACAATGTTTTAGGTTTGTTTTTAAAATGGCGGTCCTAAATTAAAAAATAAAAACGAAGTAACACCACTATGTGTCTGTCATCACATTAGAAAATGGCACCATTTAAAATCTGTGGCAAATGAAAGTGTTTCGACAAGAGGGTTTTTGTTTTAATAGTCATCCAAGGTATTTTCAAAGAACACGTTTCGAACATCCAGAATGGATGCCAATTCCAAAATGTGCTTCTGGAGATGAGGGTTCTCCACCGTTTCATCCCTTGGCAGTTGTGGATATGATTCTGGGTAATTCCGTGTTTCCTAACAGGCAGAGAAAAGTCAAGTTTTATAGTTTAATGAAAGAAAATTATAAACATTAACATTATTGTTAGCATTAACAATATTAAAGAGTAACAATATGTATTTTTCTTCCATACTGGTATGATTCTTATTGGTAACATTTTTTGAACATATAAAATTGCTGGCATGTGACCACTTTGATCTTAAAAAAATGATAACTTCATATGGTTCAACTTAATCTATTAATTTTGTGAGTTAATTCGCAAATATTTACTGGGGCTGATCATTTCTGGGCACTGTGGAAACCATACAATTACTATTTGTTAGGGGAGAAATCCTAGCATATTTCAACAAGTATTTCTTAAAAAAATGAATAAGAAGAAGAAAAAAGAAAAAAAGAAAAAATAAATAAAAAAAGAAGATTTGTGAAAGAAATTAAAATGAGAGAAAAACCATGAGAAGCACTGAGAAGGTCAAATTAATGAGCCTTTGAAATTAATTACAGGAGAGGGAGGTGTCAAAATGACTAAGATTTCAGGACTTGAGAGAAGGGTTGGGAACTACTGAGAGAAAGAGAAGTAAAAGAGAAGATGATTTGGGGATAGTAGAAAGCTTCAGGTTTTAGGTATTTTTTATTTGTGGTAACAGGGTAGTAAAAATAGAACTGCTTCTCAACCAGAATTTGAAAATTTAGGGCTGTATTTTAGAAGACAAGTTTGAGCAGTATCTGTAAACACTGATGTAATCTGCATGGAGAGAAATATTGCAGCCATAAAAATACATGATATTTTTAAGAATATTAACAAAGAGTAAAAAAAGAAAGAGTTCCTAAAAAGGGAGATGAAAGTTCAGAAAAAAATTTAAAAAAAGAACAGAAAAAATAATAAAAAAGAAAATAATAATTCTGTAATTACATGAAAGCAAAAGAAGATGATTTCAAGAATCAGGTAATTCTCATTAGGAATTTTGTCTTCATTTGGTAATTTCTATAAACCATAATTCTGCCACACATTTAAAATTTTCTGAAGAAGTTGCCACTTTTCTATGCATCTCACAGGACATGTCCTATACTCAAATGTCATTTCTATTTCTCTTATTCCTACAAGCCTCACTCATTACACATTACAAAGATCAAATTTCTGTTTTACTATACTAATTATTATGAGTGATAAAGATAAAATGTTCAAAAACCCTAAAAACAACAACAAAACCCCAAGAACTACTTGGGGGACTACTGTAAGCTCAATAATTCTCTCAGCTCACACAGGGATGGGAGATGTTTGAGTTCTGAGCAAGCATTCCCCGGAGTGGAGAGTATCTGTTGAAATGGGACATATGAAAGAGATCCCCAAAGAATCACACTTCTTCGTTTTAGACTGAAATAAGTTTCTATCTATATGCTAACACTACTCTAAATCCACCCTAATAAGTTTAAAAAACAAGCTGTGAAAAGGTCAAACAAATTTGCAAATAAGTTCACTCCTGCCAGAACAAAGTCTAACATTCTTCTTTTTTCTTTCTAACACTCTTTATAGAAAGACAACAAAATCCAGAATTCGACATTATAAAATTCACAGTGCCCACAGTTTAAGGAAATTACTAGGCATACAAATTAGAATATGAGACCCATAACCAGTAGGAAAAACAATAAAAATAAAACTATAAATGATAGAGATAGTGTTAGCAGATAAGGACTTTACCTATTACATATTCAAGAGCACAATGAAAACATAAATATATTGAGAGAAATGAAAAGTATAATAGCTAAAAATTTAAAAACCTCAATGAACAGTGTCTTATAGTTACCTGAATATACAGAAAAAAACAAACTACTTAGAACCAAGCAGACAAAAGACTTGAACATACTCTTCATCACAAAGAAGAACACAGAATAACACATGAAAAGTTGCTGAGCCTCAACAGTAATTCCAGAAATGCAAATTAAAACCACAATGAGCTACTACTATTTTACACCCACCTGCTTCACATCCTATCTAATAAAAGACAAAAAGGGCAATTAACCGTACCTCCGCTACGCTTCCCATTGGCTAATCCGAAAGATATGCACATTAACTGCCAACAAAGATGGCGGCCGGCAGCCACGCAGCTGAAGCGAACATGAGGCTTGCTTGCTCCAGTGATGGAGGAAGCCAAGGTTCCCTGCCTGCCGCGGCCTGGCTCTGAGATCCGAAAGCAACAGCTCCAAAGGCAACAAAGTTTTAATTATAGAAGCTAAACAAATCCCAGATACCTGCTTTCAGCCAGCTGTGGCCTCAGAGCTGGAGCAAGCAGGACGGCAACAAAGTTTCAATTATAGAAGGTAAATAAATACCAGAATAAAAAAAAAAAAGAAAAAAAAGAGGCTGGGAGCTTCAGTAGCCCGCCAGCCTGAAAACGGCCCTCAGCCCCTCA